CCCCCCCCCCCCCCCGACTTCTCTCACTTGCCAAAGCCCATCTTCCAGGATAGATTCTTCTGGAATCAATTCTTCTTCATCTTCATGATTCCTCTACATCATCCTCCGTGTGTAAGATCTCTTTATCTTTAACTTATTTTTTGTGCTTGCTATCTTTGTTGGTACTTGGTGCGTTGTTTTTGAAGATTGATGGGTATTTGTTTCTTATGTACCCTTCCTTATGTGACTTTATGTGCTACCTTTACACATAATTTTGTTTTGGTAATGATATTTCATCATATAAAGATATATAGTTATCTTTGGTCAATGAAGATATATATAATAAAACTTTCAATACTAATTGTCATTTGTCAACGAGTCTACGACTAGTAGGCCGACTACTCAACTAGTCCATTGGTCTCCTCTTCACCGACTTGACTTGTCGCCTATAACCATGTTATAAATACGTGGAACTTTGGAATCACAGCCATGGAACAACTTAGATTTTACTTGGTTTGATATATATGAACTGCTTGAAGAAACATTGCTCACCATTACACTATCCATCCTATCAAATGTTATTAAAACCTTTTACCCCAAAAGCACCACGGTTGACTTAAGGTTCTTCCAACTACTAAATGTGCTCATTCTATGGAAGCATTATTCAAAGAGTCATTATTGACAATGTTTTCACATTGTTTAAATAATGAACATAATCAAATGACACATTAAAATTCCTTTGTTTCTTACTTTCTATGAAGTTTTAGGCAGAAAATGTAGGAGAGCATCAAAGGTAAAGTGTCTAACAGAAACAACCTCTCTATATTTGTAGGGATAAGGTTGCGTAGATCTTGACCACTCAAAGTCAAATCCCAATGGAATTGGGATTATAATGGGTTTTGTTGTTGTCTAGTCAAAAGGATATGAACTATATGGACCAAATACAACTACAAAACTAGAAGGAAAACCATTGCATCTTACGACAATTTAGTTAATGAGATACACTTACCATATCAGGGTCCAATGAATCGATGGCATATAAACCATATCTATCTTGAGGGACCTCAATACTTGTATCGGGGTCTAAGTTCAATGCTTGACCTATATTCATGAACACAAAAGAATGTCACAAATTCCATTTTTCACTTTCTGAAAATGACAAAAACAAGTATTTTTTAAGTTTTCATACGCCATACTTGCTAGTCCTTCCGTCCCAATTTATTGTGCCTGTTTTTTTGTCCCAATTTATTGTGCATGTTTACATTTATAGAAAGTAATATGTGGTTCAAAAGGTTTCTTTCTCACAATCACACAGTTTTAAAGTTATCAAGTAATATGTGGTTCAAAGAGTACCCCGTACCACAATATATATAAAAATATCAATGATTTACTGAGATGGCAACAATTCATATTCAACGTTGTCCCATATCAGTTCCACCATTTCCACTATGAGACATTTAAATACTTCTGAAGCTCATTGAAATTTTATCTATCAACAGAGTTTAAAAAGAAAGAACTAAATAAATAATGAATACCCTAGTACTTTTGGATTAAATTTGAAAATGTTGGATAAATCGTAGATAACACGGATTTGTTTGAGAGTCGTGCTAACACTTTCAGATTGATTATTTGGGCGTTCACTCCAAAATAAATCAGATAAAACTCAAACTGTTGATCAAGAAGCATATAGTATGATGAATTTTCGAACTCTCTGTGGCGACCATTACTTTTGTCGGATTCTTATAGCCGTCGAAGGAAGGAAGAAAATTAACACTGCATCTCGACCCTAGGGCTCTGTCGCTTGGACCCCGCAGGGGCTTCCGTCCCTTGAACATGCTCGGGGGCGCTGCGCCCGAACAACTGCTAAGGAAGCGCTACCCCTTGGAACCCCATTAAAACGGGACTTTATCATAACAAACTCAACGAAGCGTGCACTCCGCACCACCAAACTTCATTGATGATTATTATGATACCATTGGTCAAATAGTTATTCCAATTACACTAAAATATACTCTCTCTGTTCTCAAAAATACTTCCTCCTTCATTTTTTCCACTTCCAACAAAACACTTCCACTTTCTATTAAAAAACCACTTACCCTTACTTTTTCATACTATACCTATCGCATCACATTTTTTCTCTAATAAACTATCCGTCACATCTTACTTTTATCCATCACATCAAAAGGACAAAATTGGAAGTCAACTACAATTTATCACTTCTTTATTTTTACACTTTGTCAAACTAAGAACTCTTTTTGAGAACGGATGGAGTATAAAATGAAAAAACATAAATATGAAAGTTTAAAAAAAAAAACTCGGAAAACATGATCACCTGTGGAGGGATCGAAATGAGACCAAAGCTTGTCACAGAATTCATGGTCAGCTCCGAAGATCCGGACCCAGATCCGTTCCGAGCGACCAGTTTTATGGTTGACGGCGTTGAGAATTGAACCGGCGATTCCTGGAACGAGTAGCACCGGGTCAAGAGCTGGGTCAATAATTGCCTGCGTCTTTTTTATCAACCCCGTCCATAGCTCCAGTGACTTCATCATCTCCTCTAGCAACACTGCCATCTCAATTATGGATTCGCTCCTTGCTTGAAAATATGTATTTGCTGAAGATTTTCGGGTTTAATTCGAACTGAGCACTTTGTAAGTTTGTAATCGGAATATGCAGGTCGAATTTGATGGGAATTGAAGCAATTGAGCGTCTCAAGTTAGATGAATCCTTAGAATTGCGAAGGTGAAGGACTGAAGCAATTGAGCGTCTCAAACTTTAATCATTTTATTTACCTATTTTCATTAAGTATTTTATAAAATAATATAGTGTTGTCACCACAACCACTTGTTTTGTAGAACTTTTGATATATAGTTTTTAAATATATAAATTTTATTTTTTAATTTTACACCTACAATCAAATAAATTGAATTAAAAATAAAATCGGTCAAACTTTGTAAACAGAACCTGGAAGAACATTACAGGGCGGAGGGAGTAGTATATTGTTTAACTATTCAGAGGCAAATGTTTGATCAATTCAGATAAGAGGTATTAACCATTCAGACTCTGTATAATACTTAACCATTCAGACGCAAATGTCTGAACCATTAAGAGGCTGAGACAAACAGTCTGAACCATTAAGTGTTGAACTATTCAGACATCTGAACCATTAAGAGGCTGAAACAAACAGCCCCTAAAATGCTATAGTCACAAACATATAGTTCACGCACTTCACAAACTTAACTTGCCTTTTGTGGATTTTAAAATAAAATATCTTTTATTATTTAAATGCATCTTATTTATAGGAAAGTGTTAAAAAGGTAAGTTTGTGAATTTTGTGAAATGTTTGTTTGTGATTCTAGCATTACTCCAAGAACAAAGTAACATTTTTGTTAGCACTAAATTTAATTGGATCTATATAATCTCCTTGGTTCTCATGACATTGGGAACTAATTACCCCAAGTTAATGTTGACTTCAGATCGGGGCGGGGTGGGGTGGTTTACCGGGGATTAAGGGGGTAGGAACCATCAATTTTACGAACGGGGCACCAGAGCCCCCCGGGTCATCCCATGACATTGGTTATCAATGTCATGGGAACCGGCCTCCTATATAATTTGTTACAATTGTATTCATATTTTAAATTGTTTCTCATTTGATCTGATTAGATTAAATCTGATATAATTTTAATAAAAATATGTAATAAGCTAAAAATATAAGTGGAACAAAAGAGATTCTAACTCTATTACAACTCTAGGAGGTTGTTTGGCAGTGTGTTGCTTTTAATAATTTAGCTTCTACTTTGAGTAGAAGTGATTTTTCTCTGTTTGGCATGTCAGCTTCTATTTTTCACCACTGCTATTTTGTACATAGAACACTATTTCGAAGAAGCATGTATGAGGTGCTTTTGCTTTCAGCTTTTGTGGAAATCACTTTATCCATAAGTTAATCACTCCCAAACACCCTCCTAGATCTCTTTGTAGATACTTTCAAGACCTATTGAAATATCAAGAGTTATCGCATCCACTAAAAATTGAATATATGACTTTCCATTTACAAGAGTCATCTCAGTGTCATTGGACCATAGGGTCTTTAAGATGAGCAAGGTAAGGTAAAGTTACATACTTTGGTTTTGGATCTATATTCTCTAATCTACACAATTTATTCATTATGTCAAGACCATTTACATGTGTTCCCTAGAATTTTAAAATAAATTAAATTGGGTTGGGGGTTAGTCCACTCGACAATAATGTACATTTAATGCTTAAAACAACTCTAAAAGAGAGTGAACCCAATCATTTAGTTAGTCAACCACAATTTCTTATACACCTATATCTCTCTCTTTTTAAAATTATTTTTGTGTCATGTTATTTATTTCTTACCTTTATTGCCCAAGGATTAATTAGCATACTGCTCACACTCTCCTTCACAATCGGATCATTTGGATGTATTTTTTCCTTCAACTTCAACATTTTATAAAATCTTCAAAATTTTCCAAAATTCTCACATATTGTTGAACTTTTAAAATCTTCCAAAACATCCCCAAAAAGCCATTTTCTTCACTGAAAAAATATTAATACTCATAGGGCAAAAAGTAAAGTCAGCGTACATCTCACCCTTCCCATAACCTTCTTACGACTTAGACATACCATGTATGTTTGGTTTTGTTTACTTTCAATAAAAATAGATATGTACAATTGCCACCATAAGGAAGTGGCATCATAGGCTGGTAGCAGATTATAGATAAAAATTAATTCATTATGTAATTCTTTTGTTCAAAAGGCAATAGGTTTGCATGGTTCCATCAAAATGATTGTTAAGAATATGATTGGACATTACTCAACTTTAAAAGAGCTATTGAGAATATGATTATTGTCCAATCTTTTAAAGGGCAAATTTTTAGAGGGTTTCTGTTCAACATATAACGACTAGATTAGATATGGTTGGTTAAATACCTAGGGTGGGCCCCAAATGTATGGGTGAGGGGCATGACTAGATGGAACAACGGAGTTGAAATACGGAGGTATGGAAACCCGGTGACCATAATATCTCTGCAGATAACACCATCACATTACTAACTTCAATCACTAAAGTAGCAATGCAGTAAGAATTATCTACTCTATATGCTTAATTCTATCATCTACATGTAATGCTGCCCAGTCAAGATACATGGGAGCGTTCCCGTGATCTTGCCAACAATTTAAAAAAACAATTATAAGCACAAATTATGGAGAAATCTAGCATTCAAATTGTAGAGGGTGTGGGAATCTAAGTGTGATTGTATTTGTTGCCTAACTCACCCCAAAAGAGCTCTAAAGAGATGACGATATTTAATCGATGTGGGATAACTCAAACAGTATTGACATTTAAATATACAAATGTTATGTTAACTTTCCTAATTTCAAGAAATGTGAACTTTTTGTCACTGGTGTGGAAGGAGATGATTTCTCGGGCTTAGAACATTTCCCTTCCTCGCTGCTCCACATGACTAATCAATGATCCACAAGTACCCTTTGCTTTCTTTTCACTGATTAATCAAAATTAAGCTAAGTATCTGTGTATCGAAGCTTGCCGAAAAACTTCAAACTGAACAAACTGCATACGTTACGAGCTTGTGTTTAAGCATAGCAATAAAGTTGAACATATAAGGTGGAATACAACACGCGAAAAACACATAAAAACTAACTATTAAGGTTGAAGTGTGAAACATTCTAATCTCTTATTATTTTCAGCTACTCAGATTCTTTATTTCCACCATAAACACTCCAAGCACTTAATGCATTAGGGTGTGTTTGGCATGACATTTTATCCCATTTTGCATTGAGGGCCTCAAAATTCTGTGTTTTTAGGATTAGCTTTTAGCTCTGTTTGTATGAAGGGTATTAGTTGAATGGATAAAAAAATTCAAAGCTTATAATTCAGAAACGTTTTTTATTGAATTTGTCCTTTTTAAGCACCCCATTCAAAATTTATGAAATTTATTAGTGTTTCTAAAATGCAGATGAATTTTTTAGAGGACATGGATAGTGATAATGCCGATTCTTATGACATGGACAGTGATAGTGTTGATTTTTATGACATGGATAGTTGGACAAGAGTGATAAAAATATGGTAGAAGACGCGACACCAAAAGCTGTTACAAATGAACAAATACAAAATGATGTGGAAGCAGAAAGTTTTGATCAGTACAAAGTTATATTAGACTTGACCAAGGCAGATATCGATGTGATGGAGTGGTCAAATGCTGAAGATGCTTATAAATTTTATTTTACATATGCCAAATGCCATGGTTTTGTGATTCGGAGGCATAATGTCCGTCGCGATGATAGTCATCAAATTTTCATGAAAGAGTTTGTATGCTGCAAAGAAGGACTAAGAGCTAAAAAACATTTGATGAGGGAGGACATGAAAAAGGAGCATCGACCTCTTACACGCACAAACTACAGAGCAAAGTTGCTTGTGCGGCTAGACAAAAACAAGTTAAAATGTAAGGTCTCATCGTTTGAAGAGTGTCATAATCATCAACTATGTAAGCCAAATTTTGATCCGTTATTGCCTTCATATTGTGGTTTGACCGATGCAGATAAAGCTCAAGTTAACTTGTTGCACTCACAAGGTGTTAGAACTTGTCACATAAAGGGTTATATGATAGATCAAAAAGGTGGGTACATGAGTGTAGGATTCAATAAGAAAGATTTGTCTAACTCTATTTAACGACAAAAACAAGCAAAAGTTAAGACCAAACATTTTTCATTTATATGATTATTTTTTACCAAGTCGGTATTAACTTACAAATAATCTCATATTGTTATTTCGCAAGTGAGAGCAAAAGTAAAGTTGAAAGTATTAATATTAGATGCATATGATAGTCTTTTGTAATATCACAAAAATGTTGCACAACTAATTTTTTAAAAATGTTTTAATTTAAATAAAACTTTTACATGTTAATTTTAAAATATATACTATGTATAATGCGGAGTAGAATTTTTATTAGCAAATGTTGAATTTTTAATCATTATCTTAATTTTTACGGTCAATATTTTATTTGTTCGATTTTTTGAAAAATATTATAGAGAAAAAAAATTACAAAATCAGAATGAAACATTCGATTTAGTCCATGCATGAAATGGTTTAAAATACTAGTTTTTGGAGGTGAGCAAGTACCAAACCAATACTAAAAATCCCGAAAATACCGAACCGAAAAATACCAAACCGAAACAAATGTTCAGATCGATATTTGGAAACGATACGAGGTAACTTCCCATACCAGAAATCCCGAACCGGATATATATACAAATATTTTATAAATATAATAATCTTTAAATACTCCCTCGGTCCTATATTGACCTTCCCACATTGACTAAAGCTCATTTTTAAGGGAGTGCTTATTTTTACTTTGACTTCCAATTTTGCCCCTCCTTATAAACTTTAAAAAACTAAGGCAGACAAAGTTTTCCACCGAAGGAGGGCTTTGCACTGGCCAAGGCTATTACGAAGGAAGCTTTAACTGTTGCCGCCACTTTGCTACTTCCGATGACGAAGCCATCGAGATCCTCCAAGCCTTTTCCATAGAGGTCAGCAAATGCTTGCTCGACGCCGTCAAATCCGGGCTGATTCATTATGGAAATTGGCTAAAATTAAAGATTGCTCGATGCCGTCACCGTCGATTCATAATGAAAATGGACTGAATCCATATAAAGGTGGGCCGATGATGATTAGATCTAGGATTTCATGGAAGATGTAAGAGATGGAGAGAAGGCGAGGAGAGAGTGAGAGAAGGCTATGAGGCGGAGACAGAATGGAGGAGAAGAAGAGGTGAGGTGAGAGAGAGAAGATGAAAGAGGAGGCGGAGACAAAATGGAGGAGAAGAAGAGATAAGGTGAGAGAAAGAAGAGGTGAAGAGATAAAGGTGAGGTGGTGGCGTAAAAGTGAAGTTGAAAACATGGTTGGAGGAGTAAATGAATGAGGGGTATTATGGTCATTACATACACCTTTTTTGTGTGTGCGAAGATAGTTTTAGGACGCGGAAAAAATGAAGTGGGAAGATAGTTTTAGGACGGAGGGAGTAATAAGTTTATTTTTAAAATTTTACACAAATTTTATTATGTGTACATTGTACTTTTATTTGAGTTTAATTTTTTGTAGAAGAATCTAAAAATAGTAACACACATTTGAAATATCATTTTGTTATCATCCGTTCACGGTAATTAGTGAGACATAAACTAAGTTTAATAAGCATTTCTTGCATTTAATTTTTTATTTTTTTTCATTTTTTCATTTTTTGCTTAAATGTACTTTCGATTTATAAAAAATAAATTTTTTTGTGACATTTTAAAGTTTAAATTAGGTGCATATGTTTTTATACTGATTTATCCTAAAACCGATAGCGAACTATCCCGAACTATATCGAATTGAAATTTTAAGATCGAAATTGGGATCGATATGACGTAAAATCCCATTCTGAATCCATACTTTATTTAAAAAGACATGGAGTCAATATAATATTTTCCCGCTCAAAAAGTATGTCCATTACAAATGGCAATTGTGAAGTTAAAATGGTAAGTGTTCGAAATCATAGTAATATAAAATGGTAAGCATGAAGTTAATATAATTATTATTTTTATACTCCCTCCGTCCACAAATAAAGTTCCCATTGCACTTTACGATGTTTGACTGATATTATTTTCAAATCATTTTATATGAAAAATGGTATGGAATTAAAAAATAAAAATTACATGTTTAAAAACTACATGAAAAGATCTACAAAATTATAGGTGACATGACTATATTATTTTATCAAATAAGACACAAAAATAGGCCAACAAAGTGAATAAAGTTTGACCCTATGAATAGTGAACGAGAATTTTATTGTTGGACGGAGGGAGTAATAATTAACGTATTTAAGTTAATACAATTTTACTTTATTAAAATTGGAATCAACGTATTGAAAATTTGAAATAATTAAAAAAGGTAAGTTATAAAATTGCAAAGTGTATGTTTTTAATAAAAATGGAATCAACGTATTATATGGTAATAATTAACCAACGTTATTGTGAGTACTGATTGGAAAGCGTCCGAGATTATGGTAAGAATATTAACTGTCATTTTTAAAGTGTCCGAAATTATACTTGCAAGAAAGGTAATAATTAACTAACCTATTGATTGTATAACCGTGTGGCTAGGTAATATAAAAAAATGTGTGTGATTATAGTATAATATAATTATGGTAAGAATAGTTTTACGCCCAGTTTCAAAAAAATTTAACCCTTCATAGTATAATTAGCCTCTTAGAATTATATACTATAAATACGGTCTTTTTCTAGGCCAAAGTAGTAAGATTATTCAACGTGTGTTTTTATTCGGTGTTTTAACATCGCCTTTTATACGAACATGAGGATCGTAACCGCTTTAAAAAATGTTAATGAGAGGTGAGCACTATTAATGATGAAACTAAGAGCGTTAAGTGTTTATCACGTTTCTGCTCATTCTCAGGGCCAGAATCATTGGGTGTTATTTTTTATGACTCAGATGTTAGTTCTGTAATATTTAATATATTTCGTATTACATATTAATCTTTAAAATAAAAAATTGAATTTAATTATATGTAAACGTTTTCTATTTGTTGTTAGGGCGATCAGATCCATGCTTAGATCAAAGATTCTATTATACGCACATTCAAAGAAGATTTAATTTGCAAGAAAATGTTGTTTACTTAGTGATGAAAGTCAAGGTTGTGCGCAATTTCCAAGGCATAAAAACTACCAATCACCCTTGCATACTGCAGTTTTTTGACAGGACCAAGATTAAAAAACTCTCGAAAAATGGATTTCCTAATTTCTGATACAACTTTAAGAGTTTTGAAGATATATATTCAAAACAAAGATTGCTGACAGTGTTTTTTTAGTTGTTAAGAGTCATTTACATTACATAACTCAAATACTTACACATATGAAATATATTTAAATTTATTGTTTATGATATTTATAAAATTCTATATTTTTGGACTTTCAATGCAATAAAGACAGTATTCCCACAAAATTGTACAAATAATGTAGTCTATAAAGAAGTCTTTTGAAATTTGTAAAACAGCGATATTTTGTACTTTAAAATAATATAATCTCTATATTCTATTGTATCTCATTTTTATCATTAAAAATGTTTTGAATTTAATAACATAGAAATGGCTCATGCAACGCACGAGTGCAATACTAGTTAAAATAAAATACCATGTTCACCCCTACTAATTTTGATAAGATTTCACTATCATTAATCTAGAGACACTCTCATTTTCTTTTTTTTCTTCCGCCCTAAATAGTTCGACCAAACAAAGTTGATCCGTGTATCTTTGACTCTAGAAGGTTTGTTTTCAACTTGACGGACGTCTTCAAAGTTCAAACGTAAAACCCATCTTCTTCTTTGCGTAACTCTCACACTTTCTCTCTCTATAAAAAAAGAGGGGGCAAAAGTCTGCCAGTCTGGTGAGAAAGGGCCTTCATCTCCATCATCTACCACGTTCTTCTCCCCTGTTTTCCATTCACCTCTTCGCTTGATTGCGGCTTTGCAAGGCGGCTCGATTCGCCATAAACGCCGCAGCACAGATAAAAACCGATCCGGAAATGGGGACGAAGGCGGCGCTGATCTATGCGTTCGTGGCGCGCGGGAACGTGATACTGGCGGAGCACACCGACTTCAGCGGTAACTTCAACACCATAGCCTTTCAATGCCTCCAGAAGCTTCCGGCATCCAACAATAAGTTCACCTACAACTGCGACAACCACACCTTCAACTACCTTGTGGATGACGGTTTCAGTAAGAATCCCTCCTTTTACCTAGAAATTTACTTGAAATGGAAATCGCTCTTATGATCGGATTTTGTCTACTGGACCTTTTGTAGACTGTAGGGAGATTCGATATGGTTTTAGTATTTCATGCAGATCTTGTGTATCAAAGGCTTAGAAAGAGGGGTCTTATGCATTGGGATCAATATAAGGGGACACTACTCACTAATTGTGGAATGATGAGCTAGCGAATTTGATCCACGACTCTCAATTTCTTGTCATTAGATATTGACAGTTCTCTTCTTCGTGATGCATCCTTTAGATTTAATTCTTATTCTCAAACTGCCAATTTTAAAAATAGATTTTGCTTTGGCGAAAAAGCTGAAGTTGTTTGAACTGGCAAAAGAATGTGATAAATACTCAATTCAAGGTTGTTTATTGGCTCCAGCTTTTGAAGCCCATAGGAAAGCTCACTTTTAAGATTGCACCAAGGTGTTGTCAAGTACTGCATTTGTTGTGACCTAGTTATTACATTTCCCTTAAGTCTTTGTAACTTTGCTTTTAGTTCTTCAGCAGTTGAGCGCGTAGTGTTCAAGGTATAAATAAATTCCCATAAGTCTATACAAGATTCTTTAAGTACTTAATTTTCAAGTGTGGACTCTCTAGGAGTTTATGGTGAATTTGGTGAAATAGTAAATACAGTGGTGCAATATATGGAGTACATATTAAGCTGAGAATGTAATGAGGGTGTTTGGCACTGCTCTTAGCTTTTGTGTTGGATAAAAATAGAATGATAATGTACGGCGTGCTTTTGTTATCTGATTTTCAGCTTTTGACAGAGGCAAAAGCACATCTGAGATGCTTTTGGATTCTGTGTTGGTGTGTTTAAAAAATACACACTTTTTCCAAAAGTAAAATTAATCCCTAACACCCTCAATGTATTAAATTCATTAACATCTTCAATAAGACATAATTGTATTGTTGTAAGGACTGCATGGTGGCTATTGGTCTAAGAGAATGTTAGATATAGTTTCATACCCTATTCTATAACTTCGCTTGCCAATGCATATGCAATTATGTGATTTACATATGAATTCACAATTTCACTGGCTAGGATTGTCAAATAATTAGATGCTAGAATAAAGATCTCTTAATAGTTCATTTCAGTTGTCTGCTTGATGCTTTTACCCCAAGTTCTTGGTACGAATGGTATTTGAAATTCCATATTGCACATTTGATAGTTTTTTATGTAGTGGTTGATGATCAATTGCATATGAATGTTTGGTCTTCAAGCTAAATCAACACTAAAAAATGTTTAGTATCTGATATGTATAACTGATATTTATTTTTCCAGAGTCCAGTATTCCTCAGATTCATCGTAAAGGCACCCTTCCTTTTCGATCCATCATAAATGCCTCCTTCCCTGTAAAATGTGTGTGTTTGTACTTTTTCAGCTTATTGTGTGGTTGCTGAAGAATCATCTGGCCGACAAATTCCTATGGCATATTTAGAGCGTATTAAGGAAGATTTTGTGAAAAAATATGGTGGTGGAAAGGCTGCAACTGCTCCTCCTAATAGCCTTACCAAGGAATTTGGGTACACAAATTTTACACAGGAGATTTTGTGGGAGATATTCTGTTATCTCATCTGATTGGATGGAACTGTTATTTGCAGGTCTAAGTTGAAGGAGCATATGAAATACTGTGTTGAGCATCCAGATGAAATCAGCAAAATTGCTAAGGTTAAAGCTCAAGTATCTGAAGTCAAAGGTGTCATGATGGAAAATATTGAGAAGGTACATAAATGTTCGTTAGCTTAAAGCTTTTTTGTTATGAGCATGCTGTGCCGGCTCCGGATATATTTTGGTGTATCAGGTTTATTAGTGGATACAATTCCACGAAAAGATAACAAAATAGGTCGAGTACTATATTTAAAACTAGTGCCCAACAATTAACTGTAGGCAACAACTTTTATTTAATATAGCCACTCATAAAATCTTAAAAAGACAGTGTAACTCTCTAGTGTAATACCGTAGTATATGATCGGGGACATGTCAAAAAAATTATGGTCGTGGATGTGTAATTATTGTATGTTTTTGGATCTCTCTCTTTCTTGCTCTAAGCAATCATCTATTCGTTCCCTGTTGTTGGTGAAGAGGAAACAGAAAATGTAGATGGGGGTAGTTCAGTCTCCGGGCAGTTTTTAGGCAAGTTTTCCCTCCTGCCAGCCCCCAAATCTCATACCTCAGCTTTAATCTGAGCGAGCCCACTCCAAACCAACAGGAATTCCAGATCCCAACCACCCCGTCAAGGCGCCAACCAATTGAGATCCCAAGTCTCTGCCTTATGCGCGTGAAGGCTCAGCCATATGACAATCATAACCCAATCTTCGATGTGTTTAACTCACCCGTACCCTACCCTTTTATCATACTTTTACTATCTAATTACTTTTATTTATCTAATTAGGTTTTTTACTCAACCCAAAGCTCACCCCCACAACCCAAAGCCCACCATGCAGACCTAAAGTTGTTTAAGACACGATGCGTATGGATGCATAAAAAGTTACGGAGCCTCGATGCGAGATGGGCGCATATCATGAAAGCAAGGCACAAGTAAAGAACAAGTAGCGTAACATCTCTATATTAGTAATAATACACATAAAATTTTGAAAGACAAGCAAATTTTAGAAAGCAACCAAGAATCAAAGTCACACATAGTACCATAAGGCATTGACAAATTTTAAAAACAAACATCTGTTGAACAACAATGTCATAGACAAAAAATGAACACGTCACATAAACTGATGTGTGAAACATCAAATGGGATAACTATCAGAAAAACGACTTGCTAATATGCTGCAACAGAAAAAAATACAAAAGTTATTTAAAAACAATGCATCATTGAGTGTTGACTTGCTGCGAATCTACTACTTAGAAGAAAAAATATTTCAAATAAAGAATGAGTAAACCGTTCTAGAAGAATAGAGGCAAGTCCAAGAAGAAGAGAAAAAACCAGCAAAAACTCCTGACAAGCTCACAAGCAATAGAGTGAGAATTCAAGCAGTGAAGGAAATCTGAGCAATCCGAGAGGAGATGCAGTGAAGCAAAAGACCAGTGCAACGTGTTTATTCCTTTGAAGGAGAAGGTCAAAGCAGAGAGGTGGAAGAGTGAGCTTAGTAAGTCCAAGAAGGAGAAAAAACCTGATTAGCTCACAAGCAATAGAGTGAGAGTTCAAGCAGTGAAGGAAATCTGAGCAATCCAAGAGGAGATGCAGTGAAGCAAAAGACCAGTGCAACATGTTTATTTCTTTGAAGGAGAAGGTCAAAGCAGAGAGGTGGAAGAGTGAGTCTTAGAAGGTGAGTGTAGAGCGTCAACCCTAAACTTAAACAAAGAACCAGAAAAGAAGAAAAAGACAGACCAGTTCGTGATGCACACATTCTTGCCCCTCAGATTGCATTGCACAATGCGATGATGCGCGGTTATGCGCACGCTTCATGTAGTTTCCTTGCATAGGGCCTGTGCTTCAAATGGCGACATACGCTCTTTTCACAACTATGCATAGACCACAACCTGTCGGCAATTTTGATATGCTTCCCCAATCCTTAAGCCCCCGATTGTTTGCTTTTTTTGTTAATTCTTTACGTTGATAGTTGTTTTTATCAAGAGTTGGTAGTTAAATCTTATTTACTTCTATACTTGCTAGTTGTTGGTGTGTTGCTTGTCTGCGTCATTTATTGAGGTAGTTTTCTTCCGCGGTCTCTCTTCAGTAGTTCTGGCTAAGTACTACTCCCTCCGTCCGCCTAAGATGTTCTCATTTTGACTTTTGGTGGTTTTTAAGAAGAGTTGAAAAAAGGTGAAAGTTTACCATAATACCCTTAATGAAAAATGGGTGGAGTGTATTAAATGAGGTGGATGAGGTGTAATAAATAAAGTAAGTGGGGGTAGTTGTGGTATTTTACTTGTTAAAAAATGAAATGAGAAGATCTATTGTGGACAAAGAAAAAGGGCTATTGGGAAGATCTATGGTGGACAGAGGGAGTATTTGTTTTCTTGTGTTTTCCTTTTTGTTGTGTGGTGTCAGCGGCTAGGTTGGCTTTGGTTAATAATGGTTGCATAAGTTTGTATACTTGGTTGGGTGGTGGGCTTGTGGGGTAGAGGAGAGCCTAATTTAAGGTTTGGGTTGTGGAACATAGGGCCCTTAACATGTAAGTCTATCTAGTCGATGAAGGTCCTTGAGAAGAAGATGATTTATGTTGCGTGCGTTCAAGAGACTAGGTGGGTGGGAACTAAGACGCGTGATGTGTTGAGTTCAAGTGGTGGTGCTTCGATGCTTTGGGGATTAAGATTGAGGTTGGTGCTCCGATGGTTCTTGAATATCTGTATATGGACCTTAGAGAGTGAGGGGGTGAGGAGAAGATGTGGGATCTGAAGATGTGCACAGGTGTTGCTCAATGTGGTGGAGGTGAGGAACATGTGGCGGTTATACTTTCATGGGCTTTTGAATGCTGGTAGGGATGAGAATTTGCTACTTAGTGGGTAGTGGCAATATGAGAGCCATCAAGATTTTAGGTACTGTCGGTGTTGACATATTAGACATAGGAGGTGGTGAGGGCCATTCGCAGGATGAGAAGGGGGAGAGCCCTGAAAACGAATGAGCATCTGATAGAGCTTCAGAAGAATGTGGGCAACTATGGGTTGGTGTGGGTCACCAAGTTTAATACTCCCTCTGTCCCCGAGTATTTATCCATTTTTGACTTTTTTTAGTCAAAATAGGTAAACTTTGACTTTGAATAAAAATGATATTAGATATTGATATAAAATTAGTTTTATTTGATTTATTATATCATTCATTTTCAAAATATTATTTTGTCTACATAATATACAATATATATATATATATATTTTAATTATAGGTCAAATGTTAAAAACAGTTGACCGATAAAAGTCAAAATTGGACAAATACTTAGGGACGGAGGTAGTATTATTTTCAGGATGACTAAGATGTTTGGTGAGTGGAGAGAAAGCATGGTGATCCCGTCGTACAAGAACAAAAAGGTGATATACAGAGTTGTGATCATTATAAAAGCATCAAAGTGCTTAGTCACTCCATAAAGGTCTAAGAATGCATCATTGAGGCTAGGTTGGGGAAAGAAATGAGCATTTTCGAGAACTAGTATGGCATGCCTTGTCAACTACTAAGGCAGTAATATGACCAACACATGGTGTTTATTGATTTGGAAAAGGTGTACAATAGGATTCTTAAGGGAGAGTATTAATGTGCCTAGAGTTCAGAGGGTTACCGGTTTCTTACATCCGTGTTGTCAAAGACATGTATAATGGAGCAAGGACCAAAGTGAGGTCATTAGGAGGTGACTCTAACCACTGCCTGGTGGAGATGGAGTCACATTGGAATTTGGAGGTGTGCCTTTAGCCCTTCATTGTTTGCATTGGTGATGGTGATGGATATTCTAACATGACATACTCAGGAGGAGGTACCTTGGTGCATGTTATTTGCTGACGATGTTGTTCTGACTATCAAGACACACAAGGGATTCAATGATATTATGATAGATTATTGTAGTTCATTTGCATATGAGCTTGAGCTAGCTTCAAATGATGGCATGCCTCTTATTTTTTCATTTTGGGTCCACAATTCTTTGACACACCACTTTCACATGGAATAAGACATGGTGGATCCCTACCATAAACAATTCTAGTCCTTTGTGTCTTTTGTGTTTGTTGCTAGCTTTTTCCATTCTCTCGTACTACATATGTGTTTTCCTTTTCTTTCTGGCAGGGGAAAGGTTACACCCACCCAGATCCTACAGTGTAGGAATATACTGGGTAAATTGTTGTATAAATCAATGAATTAACACTCAATAAAAGATAAAGATAGCATCAAATTTATAACATTCTAGGTAGGATAAAAGGTAGTGTGTACTCCCTCTGTCTTTTAAAAAAACTTTACAGTTTCCTTTTTTGGACGTCTTAAAATTATCTTCACACTTCTCCACCTTTTTTAGAAAAAAAATGTGGGTATTATTGACTCTCTCTTTTTCAAATAAATTCCAACCACACACTTTTCACCAACTTTTCAATACTTAGTTTAATTTCTGTGAAGGTTTATTTGGAGACGGGGGGAGTATCTATAACTCCTGGCTTATTACTGTGAAATACGGAGCATATAAATATTCTTTTAATAAAAAAGGCCATTTTAGCTAAAAGAAAATTTCAAATAAATCAATAGAGTTGCTGAGTACTTGTCTAGGTGCTGCCAAACTGCCCTGACTGATTTTTAACTGATTTGGGCCAAAATCAGGATTGGTAGGATCACCTAGGACGATATCTAGAAAATTGATTTGAATATCTTTGCATACACATGTACCCAAAATCTTGTCACTATTAGCTACTGCTACATGAAGGCTTGTTTTCCGTGCATGTTCCCTTGCCATTTCCTCACCATTGAAATAATGGGTGCTCCATGTGTTAATTGAGGCCATGCCAGTAACATGCAAGCATGTGACCTTTTGACGTGGGAATTATTTACCCTGGAAATCACTGCCAAAGATATTCTAGATTTTGTGTATGATCTTGAGGATCTTTTCACTTCCTCTTCTCCACCGAGGCAAGCAACACAGGCTCTCTAATTTGGTCATAGATATCACATTTATAGCAAAAGCCTTTAGGGTGGAACACCCTTGTTTCCGCCTGTGGAAGTATTTTTATCATGGAAATGAAGGTCATTTGGATGTTTGGGTTGTTGCCAAGGGGAGTGAATCAGGGACTATGGATGCATTGTTTGAGTAGTGGAAGAAAGGATTAAAGGGACACAATTGGGCTCAATTTACTAATTTGGCCTTAAAAATGGGTCATATTAATTTAGTAAAAATTAGGGGCGAATATGGATTTTGGTTACTCGGTTAACCGAATAAACCGACATAAAGAATCGAAAACTGACCAAATTAACCAAAAAAACCAATAACTTGAGATTGGGTAACCGAAACCAAAACCGAACCTGACAAATCGGTTATTTCAGGTTTCGGTTTTGCGGTTGGCCTGGTTATTTTACTCACCCCTATGTTTGTTAACTCTCTATTTGATTTTCACTTTAATGGGGAAAACTGAAGAGTACAGAAATCTTTAAGGCCTTCGGTAATCAAAACTAATATGGATTTTGAAATTTGGGATATCAAGTTTTAAAAATAAATGTTCGGTGAAGATAAGAAGGGATTCAAAATTGATTTGGAGATATGGAAACTCTTTAAAAAGAGGGGGACTCCATATCTTACTAATTTGGGGATATCAAATCTTAGGAATTTTTCTCCTCAAGAAAACCCATAAAATTTCTTCATCTTTTCATTCCCAACACCATTTTTATCCCGTCTATTCTTCAAATTATTTTGCCAATTTACCTTTCAGTCTTTTTTCGCTATAATTTTTCACTACAATTTTTCGCTGCAATTTCTCAAATTTTCTTTGATGAAGGCATTAGAAATTTGCGTTGCAATCTTTCTCAAATTTCTGTTACATTTTATTTCCACTGCAATTTTTTTTTGAAGTTTAATTTCTGTAATTATTTTATATAACTTTTCTTTGCAATTATTGTAATTTTTTTCTCTGCAAATTTTTCATGTAGCTATTTTTCCATTTTTTGCTTCCAAAGCCAACTTTCACCTGCAAATTAACTTCCATTAAAAAATATTCACACAAAATAATAATTTAATATCAAGAAAACATGAGAACTTCATTCACAGGAAGTACAAATATAATTTTAATGTACATTTTAACCGATATACTCCGTAACATGTCTATATTAAAATATTGTTGAACACCTGCATTTGATTTCTCAACAGATTTCTTAACAGATTTCTTAACTGATTGCTAAACATCTATGACTATGAATTGGTTTCATTTCTATTTTCTCGTACACTTTTGTTTCAAATTTGAGAACCTATATCATTTCTTCCAAATTTTATAACACATCAGCTCTCCAAAACTCAACAAAGGAGCCCTAAATTTATGCTGAGTTGACCATGGTTTTTCGATTTATATTAGACCCATGGTTGTACCTCACTAGAGATATTATTGTGTTATTAAATGCATAGATTAGATTTAGACCCATGATTGTGCCTCACCAGCCATAGATGATGATCCCCGTCATATTTTCAAAATTTATTTGCAGCTTAACTAAATGCTTCATATGTTTTTTGTTTGACTCTTTTGAAAGATTGTACAAACATTAGTGAAATTTGATCAAGCATATTTTTTTGTATGACACAAAAAGTTTTTGAAACTTGAGAGAGCTATAACTTGTTTCTCCAACGTGTCTGACACTCATACTTCACAGTGTGACCTATCCGGAGGTGAACTTGGTTACTACTCGATATTGACTTGGATCAAATTCATAATCACTTAGGGCTTGTTCTCTTCACCCTGATTGGATAAGTTCTAGTCTGATCTGAAATGTAGTTATATTTGAAGTTGTTTCTGATCTAATCTTGTCTGATGTGAATATCTGAATTGAACTGATTCCAATAAGAATAAGTAATAAGAATAAGTTGAAGAGAACAGGCTCTTAATCACAATAGGAACTCAACCGAAATACTGAGCAAGTCTCATAATAGTAACGCCCTCTTGTTTTCTTTCCTCCATCCCAACGTAATTATCTTCTTCATTTTCATCAAGCTTAACATTTCCCTTTTCCTCTTCTCCTTTAGACTCCTCGCAATTAAACAATGCCTCTTTTCATATTCGGCTTCATTGTAGTGCTCTTTTTCTCATTTATTTGACTATCTTTCTTGCCATCCTACTTTTAATTTTTATCCTTTTGACCGCTGATGGTCTATTAGAAACAACCTCTCCTCCCCTCACACATAGAGGTAGAGGTGCACACCCTCTCCAGACCCACTGATGGGATTACAGTGAGTTTGTTGTTGTTGTTAGGGTTCCTTGTAGTGCTCTCCTTAATCAAATTCTTATTCCATCTTCGTACTCTTGAACCAATTGTTCACTTTTGAAGTTGAAGTTTCAAGTGGACTTCACTTATAATCGGTGACTCCTTTCTTTTCCCTGTTTTACTCCTAGTAGATTTTGATATTTTATAGGCTATTAAAACTCTGAAGCCTCATAAACAGCAACCCAATTGAGTGCCCTATTAATCTATTATCATAAATAAAACATACTCATTCCAGCATCTTCATTATTATATCCATCTACCCATGTCCAACTAATCTCCCATTTCACTTTTGAGTGAAAGTTTGTCAATTGAATCTATTTCATCAGTAAGTTTGTTCCTCTGTACTAGCTTTTACTTATATTTTTGGACATATAAACCAAATTATCCATCTCTAGTGTCCTTCCGAATGTTTCTGTAATTTGGGTTTGGATATACTTTGAAAGTGCTAGTCAGTTTCTACATGAATCACATATATGAAAATAATTAAGATGGTTGACTATTTTTTATTTATAGCTATAGCTATGTAATGTACTCCGTAATTCTTTTTTTCATACTTTCTCTCTTTGGAAATTAACTACTCCATAACTACTTGCACTTTCTTTAATGGTATTGATACACAAAAAAATTGGAATAACTCAGTAAGTCTATGTTCTTATTTGTGTTTTGCGGTACAGGTTCTGGACCGTGGGGAAAAGATTGAGCTTCTTGTGGACAAGACTGAGAATCTTCATAAGCAGGTTCAGCCTTTGCTTTCCTATACTTTTTTTGTTGACAAAGTATTGCTTCTGTCTTTGCCTTTTGTATACCACAAGGCTTGTGAATCACTCCATACAAATTGAAAGATGCTACTCCCAGCCCCGTTCTTCTATGTAACCTAAGTCACTACCTGGCTTTCAAATTATAGAGGACCCCACAAACTGACACATAACGTGAGGAATGCTGGAATATGACTTTAAAAATTCTTAAGGCCCCGTTTGGTACACGGAATTCAAACTATGGAATTGGAATTGAGGACTTCAATTCCAATTCTTGTGTTTGGTAGCACAAAAATTATGTGAATTTGGAATTGGCAGTGCAAAAAATGAATTGGAATTGATGAATTCAATTCTATGGAATTGAATCTCATGGAATTTCAATTCCATCAATTCCATATACCAAACGGACCCTAATTGTAATGCCTGCAATCGTGCTGTCTTCATAATGACTTCACACCACTACCTCCCAAATTCCCATCCCAATTCCCAATAGCATCTTAACTCCAATCAAGCCAAAATAAACGTACAAATTTGTACCTAATACTGTATTTTTTTGTTGGTGGGGACGGACAGGCACAAGATTTTAAGAGCACTGGCACGAAAATCCGGCGAAAGATGTGGCTGCAAAACATGAAGGTGAAGCTGATAGTATTGAGCATTGTGATTGCCTTGATCCTCATCATCGTTCTTTCGGTTTGCCATGGCTTCAACTGTGGGAAGTGATCATGTCTTTTGTGTGGTACAATATACTAGTAGAAGGTACAATATCGTCTTGCTGTTTATGATTTCGAACTCACTTTGTTTTTAAAGGAAGAAGACTGTAGCACTCTGTATGTATTATTTTAAGGGGTGCAGAAATTCTTTGTTTTGTGGTCCAAACTGATCTTACTTCTTCAATCTTATCTACATAGTTTTCTGGCATCAGACAATGGTTGGTAATTTTATACTTTTACCGTGACTCAGGTAAGGTTGTGTACATCTAATCCTCTCGTTGATGGTTTGCCTTTGTTTTACTTTTACGGTGATTGTTTTCTTGTCTTATTTCATTTTTCCATGCAAGTTAGAATATGTTACATTATTCGTCATTATAAACCCCTCATTTGTTTCCGATACTGGGACAAAAAATTTCACACTTTGCCACTGCTTTTAGCCCGCAACATTCGTGTCAACGTTCTCATTGGTCACGGATGGCTCCACGAGGACACCGCTCCAAGTTGGGTTTGATACCACTTGTTATAGACCAAATAAGAGAATTCATCCCAAAATATTTGCTTTTATTATCTGTTGTCTAGATAAATCTCATGTTTTGTGATTGGTTTCATTTACTAACAAAATACAGACACAAATTGTAATATCTAATACAGGCTAATAGTACTTTTTTTTGGTGTGTCATGACATTGAGAAGGGTCCTCTCTGTATTTTTGGGCCTAGTGTCACCTCCCCTACCCACCAACCCTTCTCACCCTACCTTCTAAATGATGTTGTCTCTTTGTCTCTAATTAAAAAATGTGAACAGGGCACACCTCGGGTGCCGGGTGTCATAGCAAAATAGTGGTAGAGAAAAGCAGAAGCTGACATGCTAAACAGACTAAAACAATTATCACCCTAAGCAGAAGCTAAATTTTGAAGAGTATCGTACTGCCAAACACCGTCTTTAGATCGTATCATCATGGGAAGTCTAGCATTTTGAGTGATCTATATTGGTTTTTTTTTGAAAACTTATTGGACTTGATATAACTAATGTGGTTAACAAACTTTCTCAGCACACAGTACACTCACAATAAATGGGTCACAAGTCTACAATAATCAAATACCTAAATTATATTATTTTGTTATACAAACTTCTATTCTTAGATCCACTACAAAAAGAGAGTGAATTTAGCAACACAAGAAGCATTATAGTTTAGGAATTTTCTTGTAGATATTCTTGTGTAGGACATCTGGTTTAGGCTAACTCATTAAACTCTCGTCCCTCATAAACAACTACTCCATCCGTCCCATTTTATAACGCATGTTTCAGTTTACGATGTTTGACTGAAATTATTTTCAAATCATTTTATATGACAAATGGTATATAGTTAAAAAAATTACATATTAAAATACTACAACAAAAGATCTACTAAACTAGTAGTGACAATAATACTTTATTTTATCAAATTGTTAACGAAAATAGAGATAGAAAGTGAATGAAGTTTGACCATGTGAATAGTGAACATGTATTATAATTTGGGACGGAAGGAGTACTTTGTTGCACAATGGTACATATCCTCACCTGACAATGCTAGAAAAATCGTGAATTCCGAGATCACGACGGGGAACATATTAAATGTTCGAGGAATGCATGGGAAAAATTATTATCCAAAAAATTAACTACAAGTTTAGATGATCCTTGGGGAATGTGTTTACCATGATATCATTCATGTTCAAATTGATCCATAGTAAGATTCACATTGTAATCTCCCATTGGGAACCATTGACTTCTCATTTGGAAGATGCATGTCGCTGGATCACAAGGGTTTTTGGCTCGACCTTGTTCTTTTGAATTGAAATTTTATATTTCCAATTCTCTAATATTTTCAATTTTTTTGAGGACTAACACGATGTTTGGTTTAAGAAATTAAGAAGAAAAAGAAAAAAGGAAAATAACTTCTCTCAATTTCTTCACTGAATGAAAAGAATCATGTTTTTCATTTATTAGCTTATCATTTTATTTTCCTTTCACTTTTTCTTTTCTTTTTAACCAAACGTGAAAGTTGATTTCATATCATTTTATTTTCTTTTTCACTCTCGAATTCTTTTAACTGAATACAAAGATTCATGTGATAAGAAAGTTACTCTCTCTGTCCTGAAATACTTGTCCAATTTTGATTTTTTATGAACAACTAATATCAACATTTGACCTATAATTAAATAAGAATTATATAGTATATTAATTGGATAAAATAATATTTTAAAAATATCTTCTAAGATAAATCTAATAAAGTTATTCTTGTATCAATATCTAATATAAAATTCATTTAACTAATGGTCAAATTTTATTAATTTTAAATTTAAAAAAATCAAAAATTGAAAAAAGAATCTTCTCTAATTAGTTACGGTAGATACTCTCATAATAGGAGAATAAGCCTACGGCAACATTTTTGCATTGTTTTACTCTGTAGTTTTTATACTTCAAGTGAGGAAGATTTCTTTTTATAATAATAATAATAATCATAATAATACTTATTATTATTATTATTATTATTATTATTATTATTATTATTATTATTATTATTGGTGTGCTTCTTTGTTTGGATTGATTTGCCTCCACTGGAAAAGAAAACAAATATTATACAGGGGTATGTAACTAATTAAGCATTTTGAGCATTTTTGGGATCGATAGAAAAGTTAAAATATTTGTTGTAAAAGAAAAGTTACTGGTAAAATATTCTTATATGGCCAAATAGTATCCCATATGCTTTAAAAAAATATAAGTGGTACTAAATCCATTTTGTTTTTACTCCGTAAATCTTTTTATTGAAGCGGTATTGACTCGGTTACAATGTAGTACTCCATTTAACAATTATCTTTCCATTGCGCGTTACGATGTATGATTGAATTTATTTTCAAACAATTTTATATGAAAAATAGTGAGGAATTAAAAAAAATTACATTTAAATATTACATCAAAAGTTCTACAAAATTAGAGATGACATGACTAGCTAGTATATTTTATCAAATAGACAACAAGAATAGGCCAACAAAATGTATAAAGGTTAACCATGTGAATAGTGAACGATGAGATAATTATTGGACAGAGGGAGTATATGTTTATATTTTTTCAATCTAATGACAAGAAAAGAGCCAATGAATCTTGGGGAGTGGGTATTCTACTACTCAATTCAGGGGAGAAGTCCGTTTTTAAATCTTATATATAAAAAATCCCTATGGTTTCAAAAAAGTGGCATTAGAGCACCTTCATTAGTGTCATTTAATCACTATTTAATACCTTTAAACACCATCCATGTTGATAAATGGCCCCACCCACTAAATTTTTTTATTTATCAATTATATTAATTATAACAAAGAATTAATATAATTACTAATTTTAAATTTTTCCCAACGTAGTTGGGTTTTCTATATAAATACATAGTTAGTTGTACACTATTCTTTGTTCTTATTTCTTGAGTAAATATTCATATTAAATTGTTGTAAATTTTTATCTCTAATTTGATTCTTATAAATATTTATTCATATAATTTATGAATATTTAATTTAATATTTTTTATTCATCAATTATATATAATTAAAAAATTATATTGTTTTATAATATAACATGGAGTATGAACTACTTAAAATAGTAACTGTAGTAAAGTGAAAATGGAATCTATAAATAAAAAATGGATGGATGAATGGATTAAATGGTTGTGAGTGTTTGTCTAAAAGATACTCCGTAATATATTTAAATTCAGATGATGTAGAGATGATGTAGATGAGAGAGAATGTTTGAATTGATGAATTATAAAATAAGGGAGGTAGATGCTCTTAATTCTATCAAACATATTTGATAGAATTTAGGATGTGGTAGTGATAACAGGATTGGGCAATAAGACATTTGGGCTGAATCACATTAAAAGATTGAATCCAATCGATTAGTTAGTTCAACTCAAGAGCTAATTATATACCGATTCTTTTGCTCTTGAACATCTGATGTGGGATGACACTCTAACACTCCCCTTCAAGTGGACAACCGGGCAATTTTGAATCTAACCGGTTGACCACTTGCAAATAAATTCTCATTCCCTTGAATTTTTTTTGAGTGCCAACACCTAAAGGACCACGAGCCGTTGGGTATGGACTTCCAGACGAGCAATCGTGTTAAACGGGCCACAGGCCGTTGGGTATATACTCCATACGGACAACTGGGCTAAAGACAAACGGACCGCTAGGAATGAATGTCTAGATAGACACCTTGACAAACGAGATGGGCCAAAACCTGCTCCGATACCATGATAGAATTTAGGATGTGGTAGTGATAACTGGATTGGACAATAAGACATTTGGGCTGAACCACATTAAAATATTGAATCCAATCGATTAGTTAGTTCAACTCAAGAGCTTATATACCGATTATTTTGCTCTTGAACATCCGATGTGGGGTGACACTCTAACAATATTTGTATTTGAAATAAAAAACAATGAAATAAAAGATTATATATATTTCATCTGTCTCGAGTTAAACATTTTATGTTTTTTTTGTTTTCCAAAATTTAAAAAAAACAACTTTTTTCATACGTTGAAAAAAAGAAATGATTCAGAGGGTCACCTATCCTAAAATTTCTTCAAATTTAGCACGCTTAAATCTAGAGTTTCTAAGCGACGAATTTTTGAAAAAAAAGATGCATATTATTAGTATGAGTAATACTATCAATGCTTTTGAATTTTATCTATTCTCATCTTACTACGGGGTATTACAACTATGACTACGTAGGGATCTTGCCTAGTGACTCCTAGGCCCCAGCCATCGCTCATACATGGTGAGCATGTCTTTGCCTAGCTAAAAGTTGTGCATTTTTATAGAAATTAATGAGCGAGAAAATAGTTCGAATATTGAATTGGCTTTTGAATACAAAGGTCTAACCATCTTTATATAAAAAGAGAGTAAAACATATAAGTAAACTTTTATTTCTATCATATTTCTATTCCTACTATAACAAAAACTAAGCAAACTAGGAAATATACTAAACCCAAATCTAAATCCAACAATTTTACTTCACGAAGGCCTAGTCCAAGGTGCTATGACAGGTGCTTGACCTTAAAATCGTTTATTAGTCAAGAAAATTCTTTTGAAACTAATAAAAAAAGATTGTAAAAAACTTTTTTTCACTCCGGGACGAGACGGAGTGAGTATGATTCATCATTATGTGAACTTATCCTTCTAATAAACATATTGATCCATTCATATGAGTATACCAATTGACAACTTGACATGACTAGACACAATCCATGGCATGACAAATGGGAAAGTAATTTGTGTAATTGGATTAGGAATCATGCACGCTTATTTGACAAATCACACGACCCGTCGCTGATGAGAGGATATATATATATATATATATATATATATATATATATATATATATATATATATATATATATATATATATATATATATATATATATATAGGATTGACTCCAGTGAGATGACACCTTATGGTAGGATGACATGCTTCAATGAGATGACACAACACACAACACTGCTAATGGAAAGCTTACCAACTGCCAATGCAAAGCTCACGAACCAATGTAAAGCTCACCAACTGTCAATGCAAAGCTTACCACTTTTTTTAAATAAAAAAAGTTAAAAAAATAGCACCACCACTCAATCACCACTCAAC